CCATTGTGGCTCTTCCAGGTCCCCTTCTTAGACCATCCACAGTGGTCTTCCCATTCACAATAACTGGGCTTGCACCTGCGCACATAACCTTTTTTATGGCAACAGGTTAAATATTGCCTTAGACAGTTTTTTGGTATCCTGTGCAGGTGTTGACTTTTTGATAACTGTTTCACTTTCTGCTTTTTCCAATTATGTTTTTTTCTCCTTAATTACATTAAAAGCACCTTGATGATTAGAGAGGCAGAGGAAGAGATAGCACATAAGCTTGTGGAAAAACATGGGTGTTGAATATGGAACAACCTGTTTTTGTATCATGCCTCCCATCCCTTTCTAATTATGCGGTCTTTAGAAGGGGTACATAATCTCCCTAGGCTCAGTTTCCTCACCTGTCATATGAGAATGATATCTAGGCCAGGTAGGGTTGTTGTGAGGGTTACAATAATATAAATATTATAAATAAATATATATTATATATATAATTATATATTATAGTCTGTATTTTTTTTAAAAGATTTTATTTATTTATTTGACACACAGAGCACAAGCACGGGGAGCAGCAGGCAGAGGGAGAGGGAGAAGCAGCCTCACCAAGCAGGGAGCCCGATGCGGGACTCGATCCCAGGACCCTGGGATCATGACCTGAGCCGAAGGCAGACACTTAACGACTGAGCCACCCAGATGCCCCTATATCCTATGTATCTTATGTATACCATATTATATATTATTATATATACAATATATATTATTATATTATATATACATATATATACATATAAAATATATCTAAAGTGTATAGGACACTGGAGATGGTCAATAAGCAGGAGTGACACTGTTTTTAAGGAGTTCTGCCTTTTACTTTTTTGAATCCTCCATAGAAACTTTCATAGGGTAGAGGCAGCATTGATAAAAATCTGCTAACGAAAGTGAGTTGAAAAGTTGAAGTTGAAATATATAAACTATATTTAAAAATATAAACCCTTAACTGACAACAGAAACACAGATGAAGTGAATATAGCAAAATGTTAGTAAGTATTAAATATAGATGATTGGTGTTTGGATATTGTGCTTTCTACCTTCTTTATTTAAAATTATTGTGTGACATAAGGTCAAATAGTAAAAGCAATATGCATATATACAGGGGAGAAAGGCTGATGCATTATTAGTTTTTATTAAGCTTATATAGTACACACGTTTGACATTAGTCTTCAAGTCTTTTATGCCTAAACTATTTAATAATAAATAAAAAAACCAATTAAAACCCATCATCTACTATCACATTTATAAAGCCAAAGATAAAAATGATGCAAATCCATATAAAAATATTGAATAAATATAATAATTCTTACTAAAAATAAGATGAAAATAAATACAGCCTCAGATGTAACTTGTATAAAACGTGATGGTACACAGCAAGGCACACCACCTAATACAGGACCATCGTCTGGATTGTTTGCTGGGTTGGCCACCAGGGGCTGCTAAAGAGTAGCATTGCCAGGAACCAGGCAGCGAGAAAAAGAGATCATTCAACTTGACCCTAAGAAGTGCAGAGTCCGAGAGTCAGGCTCCTTACTACACCACCCAGAGGTCTTGCACCACAGATTTCAGCCTATCTGTTTGGCTTGTGGTGAGGACCAGCCTTGCTGCAGGGGCGGAGCAGCCTGGAACCAACGCAAGCGTGAGGCTGATGTTAGCACCTCAATGTGGCATCTTGGAGTCCCTGGACACTGGGCTCAGGCTGTCACAGCTGACAATCTTCACAGCTGCTCTGCCAGGAGCCATAAAGCATGGGGCCGGAATGGAAGATTCTTATCTAGGCTTCTAATTCCTTTTTTCTACTGACTTCCCATACACTGAGACTTACTTCCAATACATCCTTAATGGTATCAGCACATTCTGGAAAAAAAATACATAGCAGCAGCTGAATAGCTAGACTAGAAAATTATTTCTATCCTAAAGTACATCCCAGGCCAAACTCTTTATGTACATTTATAGCAAAATAAGAGTGGTCTGTACTATGTTTTAGCATTGTATGTCTCGTCTGTGTCTTATTCATCTCATTTGAGAGTAAAATATTTGAGGGCAGGGCTTTGTCAGATTTCCTCGTACTCAAAAAGAAGGTTTTACTCAATAATTGTTTGAAGTAACTTCACTCATTAATTTATGACATTCAACGTTCACAATAACGTTGTAAAGCATTATTAACCCTATTTGAAATTAAGGAAACAGAGACTCAAGGATGACTGGTCAGAGGGGACTCGGCTAGCGGAGCCAGAGCAAGGGCAAGGATATCCTTTCGGTGATGTGATGAGGCTCAGAGAGGGGCAGTAGCTTGCTCAAGGTCTCATACGGAGATGGAGGCAAAAACGGGGCTCACTCCTTGCTGGTCCCGTGCCATGCTTTGCAGACAGATCTGCTATAGTATAGAAACAATACAGGAGTAGACTTCCAAGGCACATGGTTGAGTCTCCTAACCAGAAAAGAAAAGAGATACTGCCTTTTCATGATGGCTAGGGGGGTCACGCTCTTCAGAGCTGGAATGATCTGCTCTGGATACTCCTACACGGAATAATAACGCACTGGCTTCCCATGAGAGTGACACTGAGCATCTCAGGATCACGAGACCTTGGAATAGAGGGCTTCCCCATCGGAGGTTTCCTGGTCTCTGTGCCTCTATTTTTCTAGGTGCTCCCGCCCCGCCTCCCACCTCCTGGTCTAATCTGGTGTGACTGGGCAAACTCTCAAATCAACCATCTTAACCACGTGGGACACATGGCAGCCTCTGTGTAAGCCACTTATGTTCAACTACAGACTTTTTTTCTTTTTTAACATGCCCATTTTTAGTTCTGGGGTTTATCTGGAGAGAGAGTTGAGATCAGAGAGACAGAAAAGCACACACTGTGTGGGAGGTGAAATGCCATGGTCGTTTGGGAGGCCTGTCTGGAGCTGCTGGTTGTGATTTACTGAAAAGAACATGAAATTCATGTCTGCCATTCGTCTTGCTGAATGTCATGCCGAGTGCAACTTGAGGAGTAGGGAGGTCTGAAGGTGATGCCTACAAATCACCTGCTAGACCTTTTTGGTCTCTGATTTAAGAGCCATGTGTATACAGCAGAGAAATAAAACTCTTGGTCTGTGGGCCAACAAGAAATATTCCGGGGGCACAGAACCACATAACTATGGGGAACCAACCCTTAATTTTTGCCCAGGAACTCCCTTCTCTGCCATAATGCCATAAATGGGGTCCAAAAGTTCCCACTTGGGAACACAGCACATATTACCAATATGTTATATCAATGTCTGTTGATATGCCTAGCCATAGAAACTTTTATCAAGGATTGGTTACATGATGAGCACCGGGTGATGTATGGAATAGTCTACAGTGTACAGCCGAAACGAATGTAACACTCTGTGTTAACTATAGTGGCATTAAAATTTAAACAAAGGATTTGTTAAGACACTGGATGACGCATGGGAAGAGTAATCCCAGAAGGGCAGAGTAACAACATCAATGTTATCATTGAACTTCAATGTACAACCCTGTTCTCCTCTCTTTATTAAAGACTTGACAGTCAGTAGAAAATACACATCAAGCTAAAGAATAAAAAATCATGCCTCTCTCTAATAAGAAAACTGCTCAACACATACCACAGCAACTCAGGCCTTGTTGACCCCTCAAAAATGTGTTTGTAATTTTACTTCTTACAGGGGTGGGTGTAGAGTGACTTGAGCTGTCCAAGGTCGATACCCATGGTACTAGACCAGAAAGGAAGGTATACAATTCAAAGTGGTCATTCATTGGGAACACTGTGGTTGGGAAAGAGGCTGAAACTATGGATAAAACTGAAGTCCGTTCTTGTCTTTCACTACACCAACAAACTGGTAACTGGGTCTTTCTGCTGAAAGCTTTAAGCGAAACAGAAAACAACAACAAAGAAAGGCAGCTCAGACTTCTGTACTGGGGGCGGTGGGGGGGGGGGGGTTGCTGTAGGATGTCATAAAAAGCCAGAGTCCTCCATGCTTTAATGTTCAGGTGATAAACAAAACCAGGGACGTGGTGCTACTTAACATTCTTCTGCTTTTCTTCTTTAAAGTAGCCAGACACTTAGCTGGTTCATTTTCTTATTTGGAGAGCATTTACAAAGTATTTTTATTTCCTCCCATTTATAGTTACCAGAAGGTCCATATATGAAACTCAAAATGCCTTATGGGTTTTTAACATGCTGATTCATAATGTTTAAACCTCGAAGGTAAATGTTCATCTTCTCCCCCAAACATGCCTTGGCTATTTCTTGCTGGAACATAAATGCATTCCATCAGACACCAGGCTCCCATTAACCCCTTCTCCACTGTCGAGAGGTGGGAAAGCTTAGCTTCATCATGGCTAATAACAGACTCAGTGTGTGGATGGCTCCAGAGGCCTCTGGATAACTAATTTGCTGAGAAGAAACCAACTTTCTGCATTTTCAGAGAAACCAAAGGAGCAGAGAGGATGTCGTCCACCCCATACTGCTCTGTGAACACTGTGAGTGTGACCTCGACTCCTCGGCCATATTGCCCCCAGACCTGGCACGTTCCATTTCCCATCAACAGCCAAAGCGGAACAGCACTGTGGCCCTGCCTCCCTTTTATCTGAAACGTGCAGAAATTTTAGAATTTGGCCATTTCATCCCTAAAATGCAAACAATCTCATGTTCTATTCTCTTCAAAGATCTCACCTTCAAAACGTTCATTTATATCTTCTTTCATTTTTTACATAATGCTCCCTTTTGAAATCAAGGTTACTAAATCATTCTTCCCAGACTAATTTCTCTCACACATAACGTATAAACTTAGATGTTAGATGTTGCTGCTGGAGATTTGTATGACCTTCTGAAAATCAAATCAGTCTCTAACTCTAAACCCAAACTAAGACCCCCGCTCCCGACACACACACAACTATCACCATCACCACCCTCTTTTCCAGCAAAAAGCCCCTCGACATTCACCAAACGTGGCCTCACCTTTCTGGAGAAGTACTGAGTGGACACGGCGAGTGCCTGGAAGCCGCACATGGCCCTCCGCAGCTCCCCCTGCACGAGGCCCAGCTGCCTGGCCTGCTGCTGGCACCTCTCCTTCAGCCGCTGTACCAGCTGCCGCTCGGCCTCGCGGCCCTGCAGCTCCGGCTTGGGGGAAAACCCATTTCGGGGCACTGCAGTCCTCTGTTTGGGGTATCCTATAGAGAAAAAACAGTTGCCCGTGAAAAAACAGTCATCCCAAACGTGACAACAGCTCTTGGGTATAGAAGGATTTCATTCAGAGCAAGTGGCCGAGAAGGTACTGCTCATGGTTGGTCATTTTAGGTACTGATGAGAAAAAAACAGACAGGCACTTAAAATATTTGCTCTGTTTATGTGATTCTCAGTGCAGAGTTTCATGCTTAGGATAAGAATAAGAGACAAAATCGTCAGCTTCCTTCCAGCTCCCTGCATTTCATCTAAGTCTGCTTAGAGAGATTGATGCAGGTGTTTGTTTTTTGTTTTTTGTTTTTTTTCCTTCAAGGGGATTGCTCTGTGAAAATGTCTAATGGGAAATAAATCAATCGATCCAGGTTGAAGTTAGAGTTAGAACCTAGCAACCTTTGAATTGGGCATCCGGGAGAAATGCCTACATGTCCCTTCACTCCCTTACTAGGGTTGCTCTACAGACCCTCTCTTTGATGTCAGGATCAAGTCATATCTCTCACAACCTCTGCTCCAGGGATTTCTGGCTTTGAATTCCTAAGGCATCGATGTCCTCCAAAATATTCCCCCCACGTGACCACTCATGCCACCTCCAGGCTAAAGGTCCAGTCCAAGCCACCATAACCTCCACCTTCTAATGGGAAGCCCTGCTTCTTCTCATCTTTCACTGCACAACAGCCAGAATGACCTTTATGAATATAAAACAGCTCTTGACCTTCATGGACCCCTCCCTGCCGTTGTGCTCCATTGCAGGAAAAACAAAGTGTTCATTCCTTCCCATGGCCCACAGGCCCTCTGAGGTCCGGCTCCTGCCGGGCAAACAGTAGGTGTGGTGAGGCCACAGAGGAAGGAACCAGAAACTCCACCTGGGGCTGGCGACAGGGTGGGGGAGGTTTTAAGGAGAATGACTATTAGGTGGAGGCTTGGGGGGTGTGGTTAAAGGCAAGGCCCCCAGGAAGAGCTCAATGCATTGAGTGCATCACAGTCAAAGACCCGAGGGTGAGCCAGAGTCTCCCTCAGAACCTCTGTGCTTCTGGTGTGAGGCTCAGACCCAGCCTGGCACCCACAGAAAACCTCGGTGGTGGACGGTGGATCTCTATTCCCCAAGAACATTCTTTCCTTTGCTCAAGTAGAGAACATGACATAGACACAGAGCACACAATCATAAACAAACTTTAATATTTCAAAAGTTCTTTAGTCTCTCCTGCCCCCTCCAAAATATCAGGGAGTAATACAAACCCGATACACTGAGACACAGCAGGGTGGCAGGCTTACTCTACTGAACACCCAAGTGGCCTCATCTTTTAAGAAGAAAAGATGGTTAACTGATCTAAATACTTCTGATTGTTAAATTAACAGCAACCATGCTAATTTTAATTAAATCTTCCTTTTCTTAAGAAATCATCAGAGATTGCAAAAAGCAACCTCACATATGACATATCTTAAACTATTATGGCTTAATAAAGTAGTAGAATGTGAAATTAATGCTTCTTTAAAATGGTCTTTATGATAGTGGAATACATAATAATCTAGAAAATTCACTTGCACGTCGTAGGCAAATCAATCTTAATATGTGCTCAATCCCAATATTCTCAATATTGATAACAAAAGAAAAATAATTACCAACAAAATGTGAGAGATTTTACTGCTGCCTGCATTAAACTCTAAGACACAGCCTAAGACCCAAGGCAGATTTTTTTCATGATTACTGTTTTCCATTTTATTGGTGTGGCTCGTGATTTTATAAAACACTCTAGTGTTTTAATTAATGTGTTGAGGTACCAGGTACTCTACACCATTATATGTATCTTATATATGTATAACAGAAGGCACTTCTTTTAGAAATCTAAAGGAAATAGGGTGCCTGGGTGGCTCAGTTGGTTAAGCGACTGCCTTCAGCTCAGGTCATGATCCTGGAGTCCCA